GGAAGGTCACACTGGGTGTTGGTATTGGTGTTGGAACATTATAATGCCTGAAATAACTGTATTATAAACAACTTTGTAAATCATGGAATTTCAATAAAAATTTAAAAAATATATTTGATAACATTTGTATCTTACAAACATATAAACCAATAATTTAATAATAAAAAGAAACAAATCAAAACTCTCCTCTTGCTTTTTGGGCCACATCCGGCAGGTCCTCTGGGCTTATTTCTGGCTCTGTGCTCTGGGATCATTCCTGGCAGGACTCAGGGACCATATGTTGTCAAAGATCAAATCGTGGTTGGCCATCTGCAAGGCAAGTGCCTTACCCACTCTACCATCTCTCCGGCTCCCTATTAAAGTATCTTCTTTGTCAGATAATATTCTATTTGTGGGGAGATGGTTGACAGAAAGATGGGTAATGCTAGTGGTCATAGACAGAGTGCCAAATACTATGTCAGGATACTCCAGTGCACTGATCTGTCATTGTGCCTGCACATGGACTCACTGGGCCCTGATGCTGTCCTCTGACGCTGTGGGGCTATATGTGTGTGGGGGGGGGGAGTCCGCCTGGTAGAATAGCACAAGGATTTGCTGACCAGCCCTAGTGCTTTGCAGCTCTGCACTGGAGTTCTAGGCCTACAGCTCGGCCCATGCTACTCAGAAGTAGAGGTTAGATTGGAGGTGCTGCCAGTGAATCTACACACTGTAAGATAAAGGTAGACTCTGGGTAGCACTGGCCCCTTGCCATTACTGTCACTCCTCCAGTCCCCCATAAGTCCCTACTTCATGGGTAAGTGTGGCTTGTGGGCACACTTACATCCCACCTTTGTTTGATCCCAGGCACCACATGCACCCAAAAAGACTCATGTTAAATGCAGTCATAGGGTTTGTGACCCTTTGATTCTAGGTATGGATGTGCTGAGTTACTGCTTATATTGCAGTATCATTATAAGCCCTAAACATTAGAACTATTGTAAACCATGTTACCTCAATAATAAAAACAAAAGTAAACCCAATATGCATATACTAATTTAATAAACAACTCATTAATATAAACACCTAAGCACATAGCACTGTAGCACTATCCTCCCATTGTTTATCAATTTGCTCAAGCAGGCACCAGTTACATCTCCATTGTGAGACTACACCACGGGGAGCTTGCCAGGCTCTGCTGTGTGGGTGGGATACTCTTGGTAGCTTGCCGGGCTCTAAGCACATACTAAGAAAAAATACCTAAGGGCCACAATCCAGGCTTTGAATAGCCATCTTGCATATGAGTGGGAGTTCAAAACCCCAGTCTTCCACATTAGCCAAGTAGATCCTTGTTATTTTGTTCTTTGCCCCGTACATCTCTAAAAATTTTTCCAAAATGACCTAAGATACACACTTTAGCATTCTCTTCCCCACAAAAAAAACCCAGAGAATTACAAGGAGAAATTTATTTAAAAACATTATAGCACTTATTATAACAATTGATGCTGTATTTTGTTAATATAACAGCCAAAGTAAACGAAGCAAACAGAGCAAAGAAACCTTAGTCATTAAACTAGATGAAAATGCATATCTAAAAAGAATATAGTTTTAACAAAATTGACTATGTGGTGTACAAAGAAAAATCTTGGATAATCTTTACACATTCACCAGGCTACTTTCTCTTCTTATAGGAAAACCATTAATTACCAAAAAATAAATACAGTGAAACTAACCAATTAGAAACTAACAAAAATTAAAATTTAAAGTTTCTCCTTTAGGACCAGAGTGTTTGAGATACAGATGCATTTAGAAAACAAAGCATTTTATTATTTGTTGTTGCTATTAGATAAAAGGACAGGAAAACCTAAAATAATGAAATTAGGAATTTTAGTCAAGGAATTAGGGAAAAAGCAACAAAATTAAACAGACACAGGAAAACAAAAATGCAAAAAAACTAATCAAGAAGTGGCTATTAATGGAATCACTATGTACAAATTAATGTACAAATTAATATATAGAAACTTTGGAAATATAAATGAAATAAAAAGGTTTCATTTTAGGCATCTATTTCTCTCATGTAACTATCTTAGTGGTAGGGTGCATGTTTTGCAATATTTAAAACCCTGGGTTTGACCCTTGACACAAAGACCCAAAATAGGTGATCCTTTAAAGTAATAAATGATGGGATTAGTCTCTGGAAAATTATTAAATTAGAAATAAAAATAGGGTGGCTAGAGCAATAGAACAGCAGGTAGGGTGTTTGCCTTGCACGCGGCCCATCTGGGTTTGATTCCCAGCATCCCATATGGTCCCGATTCCCAGCATCCCATATGGTCCTGATTTCCAGCATCCCGTATAGTTCCCCAAGCAACCGCCAGGAGTAATTCCTGAGTGCAGAACCAGGAGTAACCCCTGAGCAACGCTGGGTTTGACCCAAAAACAACAACAACAACAAAATTAAAACGGGCGGCTGGAGCAATAGTACAGTGGGTAGGGCGTTTGCCTTGCATGCAGCTGACCCGGGTTCGATTCCCAGCATCCAATATAGTCCCCTGAGCACCACCAGGAGTAATTCCTGAGTGCAGAGTCAGGAGTAACCCCTCTGCATCGCCGGGTGTGACCCCCAAAAAGCAAAAAACATAAACAAATAAAAATGGGGTATTGTTTTTTTAAACACAGCTGACAGTCAGTAATAAAAATTAGTGCTAGTATAAGAAGAAGTATAAGTGTAGAAGAACAGGGTCAAGGCTATATTTAAGCAGGTAGAGCATTTGCCTTGCACTTGGACAACCTGGGTTCAATTCCCAGCATCCTGTATGGTCACCTGAGCACCATCAGGATTGATTCCTGAGTTCAAACCCAGACAGAAGTAACCTCGGATCATTGCCGGGTATGTCCCCCAAACCAAAAAAAGTTATTATTTTTACATGTTTTGGAACATATAGGTGAAATTATGAGTCCTGTGGGAAAAATAAAGGTAAAGGTAAAGGTAAAGGCCCTCCCGTTGATCGTCGATTTGCTCGAGCGGGCCCAGTAACGTCTCCATTGGAGACTTTGTTGTTACTGTGTCTGGCATATCCAATACTCTCGGTAGCTTGCCGGGCTCTCCGAGAGGGGCGGAAGAATCGAACTCGGGTCGGCCATGTTGGCCGCTTGTAAGGTGAACGCCCTACCCGCTGTGCTATCGCTCCAGCCCGTGGGAAAAATAATTCTAAAAAATTTTAAATTCAGTGACTGGTGAGTATAGGAAAAAATAGTTCAAGTCTATCATTTGAGACATACCAATACCCACAAGTAATATTGCTAGACACACCTCTACTGATACAGGAGGCCTGCTGGTGCTGGCAAAGGCATATGTAACAGAGATCCCACTCCTCTTCTGGCAACTTTATACATGTGAAATGGGCACGATCAAATGGGAGCTCAATCAATGAAAAGGGCAGACTTAAAAGGACAGACAGTGCAGGATGATAGGGATAGAAAGCCAGAATGTGATAGGCAGAGCTGGTATGAGACTGAGATTATCAGAGGCCAAGGTTGACAGAAAAGTCCAAGGGATGGTCAAGTGTAGAAAAAGATGGATATGGGCAGGCACATGACTGACATCCCTTGGATTCTCCATAGGTTTCCAAAGTGAAATCATTATCATCCTACATTAGTCTATCTCCTATCTTAATGTTTTTACACTTCTGGCCTGGAAACTATTAACGATTATGATGTAGTAGGCCACAATCAGGGATAAGTATATATCTGATGGCTTTGGATTTGGTGGGAGGAACTGTAGGGAACAAAGATCACTGGAACCCTCTTCATAAGGTAACATCCTCCTGGCAAGTGATCCACCAAAAACTGAGCGTGCACCACCTCAAAGCCATCTCTGTATAGTACCATAGACCCTGCCAAGGTGAATTACCTCTTCATTTACCATCATTAGAAGTTTGGAACTAAGACATAGGAACAGGGTTCAGAGCCATCATTTCATTTTTCATTTCATCATCCTGTTATTCGTCGATTGCCTTGAGCAGGCCCCAGTAACGTCTCTTTCATCCTAGCCCTGAGATTATATTCAAGGCTATTTAGGAGAATGAGACCCATCATTGTTACTGGTATTTGGCATATTTGGTATGCCACGGGGAGTTTGCCAGACTCTGCCCTGTGGGCAGGCTACATTCGATAGCCTGCAAGTTTGTCCAAAGCCATCAGGGAATATTAAAAGTCCTTGTTCTTCTAAAGTGGGGGCTGGAGCGATAGCACAGTGGGTAGGGCATTTGCCTTGCACATGACTGACCAGGGTTTGATTACCAGCATCCAATATGGTACCCTGAGCACTGCCATGGGTAATTCCTGAGTGTGTGCAGAGCCAGGAATAACCCCTGTGCATTGCCGGGTGTGACCCAAAAAGCAAAAAAATAAAAAAATAAAAAAAATAAAAATAAAACATATTAACACAACTTGGACTGGAGCAATAGCACAGCAGGTAGGGCATTTGCCTTGCATGCATCCAAGCCAGATTCAATTCCTCTGCCCCTCTCAGAGAGCCCAGCAAGCTACCAAGAGTAGCCTGCCTGCATGGCAAAGCCTGGCAAGCTACCCATGACGTATTCTATATGCCAAAACCAGTAACAACAAGTCTCGCAACTTGTTGTGAGACATTACTGGTGCCCGCTCAAGCAAATCAATGAACAACAAGAAGACAGTGCTACAGTGCTACAGTGCTAACACAACTTGGCAATGGGAGAGAAGGGCAGGGCAGACCATCTGGTCCCTCCCAAGTTAAGGGAAGAAAGGGAATTAGGGATCAAGGGATAAAAATTGAAGTTTTCAGGCTCTCCTTTGCCCCCCTCCCCATACACACATAAGAAAGGATCAGTAGAGATGAATCAAGTGATGAACATAAAAATAAACTATAATATGCCCTGAGAAATAATACAATATCTATGACCTTCATAAAAAGATATATGTAATGTATTCACAAAACATCTTCCTGTACAGTGTTGAGTAAAGGATGCTGAATTAAGCAGAATTCAGTTGTCTGCTTTGGAGCGTAGGTCACTGGTGAGCGGGTCATGCTGAGTTGTCTGGTGTAGCATCAGGGATAGGAGCCCAGCCCGGTTAGCCATTGCTGTGCGCACCTTTTGCTCTTGCTCAAACAGCTGTTCTAGCTTGTACAGCTATAGGAGGTGAGCATTAGAGAGGAATTACAGGATCCTATCCCATCTCCCAGTCCTCACTCATCATTGTAACTTACTGCGCGCACACGCTCCAGGTCCAACTCGGCACGTCTCAGCTTCTCCCAGCAATAGTGATAATTGCATAGACGTTTAGGGAGACGACAAAAATTACCAGTGACCTCAAAGACATTGTGCACTAGTGGGCAACCGCACACCTCATCGTCAATGACCTGTGGGTAAATATGAAGAAAACAAGATATGGAGGAAAGAGTGATCAGATGGGCAAGAGAAGAGGAATAAGGGAATGCAGGATGGTCAAGCAAAGCAGAATAGTCAGGATAGTTAGAGAAATGGGGGAAGGTTGAGCATGGGGTTATTTATGAAATAATAGCAGACAGACAGAAGTAAAAGTAAGAATAGGTGATCAAACAGTGAGAAGTGGGGAATGTGGGATTGTCAGAAAGGAAAGAAAGAGCATGTAAGTGTTGGTCAGGAGGTAGGAAGGCAGGGAAGAAAAAGGAAGTAAATAGGAAGACAAGCAGGGAGTAAAATAGGAACAGGATATTCAGGTAGCAAGTAGGAAATGAATGTGTAGTGATGAGATAAAGAAGGCAGAGTCTCACCTTGGTGTCCTGAGAGTGCTCAGGGCATAGCACCTGGAGTCTCTTACAGTATCTCTTACTCTGTGGGTTGTAAAAATCACAGAACAGCCTTGTGGTCCTGATGGGAGGGTGAAAGTGAGGTAATGAAGGTCATGAACCCAGACCTCACTTTCTCATCAATCCTGCCCATACCCTGCTCCAATAATTCACTTCTGCATTAGATCCCATCTGCATCCTCTCCTTGTTCACACTAGGCCTTTGACCCTGACTTGTATTCACACTCACCCCTCAATGGAAGTTGGGTACATGGATCCAAATGATGAGTTGCACTCGTACTGGGAAAAAAATAAATATAAGTTGGAGGAACTGTGGGCATATGATGCATGCCCTCCCATGACAAAGAAATAACACATTAATACCCTGGTGGATTTTTTGGTGGGGAAAGACACACCCAGCTTTACTCAGAGTTCACTCCAGGCAGTACTCCAGTGACTGTAGGTGGTGCACAGGATGGAACCCACTGTTGATTACATGCAAGGAAAGTGCCTTACCAGCTGCACTACCTCTCCAGCTCCCTATCTCTGTGGATATTATATTCCTATCTTCCCTGCCAATGTTCCTCCTCATTCACTTATGCCTCATCCTTCTACGATGGATGAAAGAAAAGCAAAATAGGTAGATCCAGGCACCAAACCTTTCCTCCTTCTGTGGATTACACCCATCCCCAAACACTCTGGACTCCCTCTGCCCCCAACCAATGCTCCAACCTTGACAAAGCAGCGCTCCATGTGGCGCAGGGCTATGTGGATACTAATGGCTTTACCACAGGAGACACAGAAGATCTTCAAATCTGTGCGATTATTTTCACCTTTGAAGTGCTGCACAAAACAGTAGAGAGGTCAGTGAAGAAAAGGGAGGACAACCAAGGCAAAATACCCAGATTCCTATCTAATACAGCCCACTAATTCCCACGTACCTCCTCATTCTTGCACATAGCCTGCTGTTTGCCACGCAGAATGATGGCTTCAAGCTCATGGAAACGGCTCTCCATATCCTTCAGGTGGCTGTGGGTGGCCTGTCGCTCACATTCAATGTGCTCAAGCATTTTCTTGTTATACTCCTCAGCAATGCAGGGGTCCTTCTGCCACTCCTGAATTCGCTGGGGCAGGATCTTACGGATGCGGCTGGAAGGAGTGATAGAAAGCAATGGAATGGGTAGACAGGAGGATCAAAAGAAGTGGATGAATGATTGAATGGTGAACGTAATGGATAATGAATGGTGGATAAGTGAATGTTGGTGAATAGGTGGCTAGTGGATGTATGGATGAATGCAAATGAGTGAGTTTGCAAGTAAGTAACTAAAGATAAATGAGTGGACTTGGTGGGTGAACTTTGAATGCGTGATTCAGCAGTGAGTGGCCCTATCCTTTAACCTCAGATATACTCACGCAGCTGCCAGATTCATGCCACATTCATCTGAGCAATACTTAGATTCTGGTCTGGCAGCCTTCACACAGCAAGGTCCCAAGCACTGCCGTGGTGAGGCTGGAATCTTTTGCATCTCCTCTGATGGTTTCCATTTGTCGTCCTCCTTCTTAGGCTTCTTCCCCTTTTGTGGGACAAGAATGGTCAAAGCAGAGGAGTCAGTCTCATTCCCCAAATCTTATCCCCGACCCACAATCTACCCCTAACCTCTACCTCCACACACTTCCCCCATTTCTTAAGTAGACACCTTATGCTCAGTCTTTTCCTTCAAATTCTCTGTTTTCTCCCCATTCATTGTTTGCTTCTAAAGTGCAGGATTCAGCATCAAGAATTCCTGAGTGTCACTCAGCCAGTGCTATAGACCATGAAAATTCTGACAAGTGTCCCAATTTACTTCTTTTTCTTCTGGGGGGTGTTGTCAGGTGGTGTTTAGGAGGCGCAGGAGTTCCTTAAAATTATTTACAGTCATCTGGGCTAGGAGTTCAATGAGAGAGCCAAGGATGTGGTGCTGCTTGGGTCCTGTCATGTCAGGGATTACCCAGGCCAATGGTGCTCAAGAGGCCTCCAGGTTTTCACTGGCAATGCTTGGGGCACCATAAGGAGCCGGGAATCAAACCAGAGTTGACCACATGCAAGACATATATCTTGACCCGTGTACTATCTCTCCTACCTCCAACTTCTTTCTTTTTTTAAATTTTTATTGACTGGTATTCTATGGTGTACAATACTGTTGATAATGGTTTCTCATGCATGTAGTTATAACATCACACCCAGCACCAAGGTACCCCCTCCATTTTTACAAGGACCACAACACCTCTCACTTATTTCTTTTTAGAATTGGGGCACACCTCGCACCTGGCAATACTCAGGGTTTACTCCTAGCTCTGTGCTCATATATCATTACTAGAGGAGCTTGAGGGACCATGTGGGATGCTGGGGACCAAATACAGGTTGGTAATGCAAGGCAAGTGCCCTACCCACTGTATTAGCTCTCCAATCCTGTCTCCAATTTATTTCTTAAACAATCTGTGCACAGACCTTGTTTTCTCTTTTACACTGCTTCTCTCGGTGCTTCCCAGTATTTCCACTGTTTCAATTTCTCCCAATTTCAACCTAATGGCCCTGCCACACACTCATCAGCTTATGACTGCCAAAAGTCTCCTATCAAGTGCCCTAGCATAGGTTTCAGACCTGAGGAAGGTATTCAGACACTCAGACAGACAACAGCTGAGGTGTCACTGAGGTGGGACAGGCTCACCCTAACCCAACTTTCTAGACTCACTCTCTGGCCTGGATTCGCTAAATGCTATCTCTCAGGGCCCCACCTGGCCCTCTTACTCACTTTATCCAGATATATTTAGCTGTTCCAATGGGTCCCACTTTGCCCATCTGAATACATAAACCAGTATCATCTGCTCAGAAAGATTATAATCAGGCCGGAGAGATAGTATAGAGATAAGACACTTCCTTTGCAAGACTGGAGCAATAACAGAGTAGGAAGGGCTCTTGCCTTGCACACAGCTGACCTTTGGCGACCTCTATGATATGGTCCCCTGAACCTTCCTGTCTACAGCCAATATCATACTTAATGGTAAAAAAAACTAATAGCATTCCCTTTGAGATAAAAGGTAAGGGTTCCACTTTTACTCAGCATAGTATTAGGAATCCTGGCTATAGCAACTAGGCAAGAAAAACAAATAAAAGAAATCCAAATTTGAAAAGAAGAACTCAGATCATCACTATTTGCAGGTGACATGATGATATACATAGAACACCCTAAAAAGTCTACAAAAAAGCTACTAGAAACAATAAACCAATACACAAAGTAGCCAGCTACAAATTGGCTATACTAAAATTGGTTGTACTCTTATATACAAAGAATGAATCAGAAAAGACTGAGATCAAAAAGTCTATCCTATTTAAAATATATCCAGCTACGACAAACCCATGGCAAGCATTATCCTCAATGGGCCAAAACTAAGGTCCTTCCCTTTAAGTTAAGGGATAAGACAAGGATGCCTACTATCACCACTTCTGTTAAATATAGTACTGGAAGTACTTGCAATAGTGATTAGGCAATAAAAAGACATTAAAGGCATCCAGGTAGGAAAGGAAGAAATCAAGCTCTCACTACTCGCAGATGATATGATACTATATCTTGAGAATCCTAAATCCTCTAAAGAGAACACAAGGAAATGGAAACATATTCCCCGCTCATGGATAGGAAGAATTAACATTGTCAAAATGGCAATACTCCCCAAAGCATTATACAGATTCAATGTGATCCCTATAAGGATACCCATGAAATTCCTCAAAGAAATAGATCAAGCACTCCTGAAATTCATATGGAACAGCAAACGCCCACGAATAGCTAAAGCAATTCTTGAGAAAAAGACGTTGGGAAGCATTACTCTCCCCAACCTCAAACTCTACTGCAAAGCGGTAATAATTAAAACAGCATGGTACTGGAACAAAGCCAGGGCTGCAGACCAATGGAACAGGGTGGAATATATGTACACACAACCACAAATGTATGAACATCTAATCTTTGATAAGGGAGCAAGAAATGTGAAGTGGAGCAAGGAAAGCCTCTTCAACAAATGGTGCTGGCATAACTGGACAACCACATGCAAAAAAATGGGCTTAGACCTCAACCTAACACCATGCACAAAAGTCAGATAAAAATGGATTAAAGATCTCAACAGCAGGCCAAAATCCATAAGATACATTGAAGACAAGGTTGGCAAAACCCTCCACGATATTGAGGCTAACGGTATCTTCAAAGATGACACTCCACTGACCAACCAAGTGGAAACAGAGAACAGATGACTGGTTAAAGAAACTTTGGTACATCTACACAATGGAGTACTATGCAGCTGTTAGAAAAGATGAGGTCATGAAATTTACATACAAGTGGTACTACATGGAAAGTATCATGCTAAGTGAAATGAGTCAGAAACAGAGGGACAGACATAGAAAGATGGCATTCATCTGGGGAACATAAAGTAACAAAAAAGGAGACTAACATCCAAGAATAGCCGAGATAAGTACCAGGAGGTTCACTCCATGGCTTGAAGGCCAGCCGTACATGCTAGGGGAAAAGGCACCTCAGATAGAGAAGGGAACACCAAGTAAAGGGTGTGGGGAGGATCCTCCCAGGATGGGAGAGGCATGCTGAAAGTAGACTACAGACCGAACATGATTGCCACTCAATGCCTCTTTTGCAAACCACAGCACCCAAAAGGAGAGAGAGAACAAAAGGGAATGCCCTGCCACAGAGGTGGGATGGGATGGGGGGGATGGGGGTGGAGGGATACTGGGATTATTGGTGGTGGAGAATGGGCACTGGTGGAGGGATGGGTACTCGAGCATTGTATAACTGAAACCCAAGCACAAAGTCTTGTAAGTCTACAACTGTACTTCATGGTGTTTCACTAATAAAAATTTTAAAAATATATCACTAATAAAAATTTAAAAATATATATCCAAAAATCTAGTATCTAAGAATCAGTTTTAAACAAGATATCTGTGTCATGATAACTTTAAATATCTTTACTACGATAACTTTAAATCACTTGAAAAAGAGTTAGAAAAAGACCTTATGAAATGGAAAAATACCTCATGCTTATGGACCAGAAGCATCAATATTGTTAAAATGATTATTCTACCTTCAGATTACGAGACTGACGTGCTGCCTACTGCGCGGGCTGGAGTGATAGCACAGCGGTAGGGCGTTTGCCTTACAAGCGGCCAACATGGCCGACCTGAGTTCGAGTCCTCCGCCCCTCTTGGAGAGCCCAGCAAGCTACCAAGAGTATCTCGCCTGCACGGCAGAGCCTGGCAAGCTATCCATGATGTATTCGATATGCCAAACACAGTAACAACAAAGTCTCCAATGGAGACGTTACTGGGCCCGCTCGAGCAAATCGATGAACAACGGGAGGGCCGTGACCGTGACCGTGACCGTGATTATTCTACCTAAGCTATTAAATAGAGTCAATGCAAACCCCACCCAAAGTCAGACGACATTCTTCCAGTACCTAGAAAAGTCAATACAAAAGTTTGTATGGAATTAGAAAAGACCACAAATAGCCAAAGTCATACTGAAAAATAAGAAGTTGGGAGGTATTTCATTATATAATTTGGAACTGTATTATAAAGGTATGGTGGTAAAATCTGCATGGTACTGAAATAAAAATAAACCCTCTGATCAATGGGTCAGAATCAAATACCCATATAATGACAAAACCACCATATATGGGCAGTTAATTTTCTATAAGGGAGTTGAAAACAGGAAATAGAGTAAAGATAGCCTCTTCAACAAATTACTGTAGCACTGTCCTCCCGTTGTTCATTGATTTGCTCGAGCAGGCCCAGTTACGTCTCCATTGTGAGACTTGTTGTTATTGTGCTTGGCATATCGAATACATCACGGGAAGCTTGCCAGGCTTTGCCACGCAGACGAGATACTCTCGGCAGCTTGCCGGCCTCTCTGAGAGGGGCGAAGGAATCGAACCAGGGCTGGCCCTATCAGCCGCGTGCAAGGCAAATGCCTTACCTGCTGTGATATGGGAAAACTGGATAGCTGCATATAAGAAATTTAAGCAGTATCCACATCTTAGGGCTGGAGTGATAGCACAGCGGTAGGGCGTTTGCCTTGCACGCAGTCAACATGGCCGACCCGAGTTCGATTCCTCCGCCCCTCTCGGAGAGCCCAGCAAGCTACCGAGAGTATCTCGCCTGCACGGCAGAGCCTGGCAAGCTCCCCGTGACGTATTCGATATGCCAGACACAGTAACAACAAAGTCTCCAATGGAGACGTTACTAGGCCCGCTCGAGCAAATCGATGATCAACGGGACGGCCTTTATCCACATCTTACACCCCACACAAAAGTCAATTTAAAGTGGATCAAAGACCCTGAGATCCGACCAGAAAAGTATAAACAACATTGAGGAAAATATAGACAGAACACTTCAAGATTTGGACCTCAAAGTTGCTTTCAGTGATCTGACACCACTGGAAAAGGCAGCAAAATCAAAAACAAACAAATGGTACTACATAAAATTAAAGAGCTTCTGCTTGGACAAATAAACACAGGCTAAAACACAGCTCTCCTAATTAAAAGAAAAAATATTTGCAACCAGATAAAGGGTCAATATACAGGATTTATAGAGAAACTATCAAAAATTGGGAGGGGAAATGAACAGACACTTTTCAGAGAAAGACAATTGGATGGCCAGTAGGAACTTCAAAAAATTCTCAGCATTACTTATCATTAGAGAAATCCAAATCAAGATGAAAATGAGCTACCACTCACACCAGTGAAAATGGCACGAATCAAAAATAGTAGGAACAATCTGTGTTGATGGGGATGTGGTGGAAAAGGAACTCTCATCCACTATTAGTGAGAATGTTGCCTGGTTCAACCCCTGTGTAAAACAGTATGGAGAGTCTTCAGTAATCTTAAAACTGAATGGCCATATGACCCAGAAATTCTGCTTTTGGGCATGTACCCACAGGACACA